CAGCAGCCGGTTGGGGGCAGCGGGTTGGGGAGCGCAGAGGCAGGATCCAGCGCGAGGAGGCAACCCAGCGCTGCTCTTCGGCTCTGTGCCACGCGCCCAGGCGCACGGGACATCCTCGAGACGCGTCACCTGGCTAGACATCCGGGGCAACCAGCTGCAAGAAGAAGAAGGAAATGGTGGCTGCTGCTTCTGGGAGCTGCCTGCCCCGTGGCCCCCTGCACCCCAGCTCCGCTCCCAGCTGACCCACTCCTTGGGCTCATAGCTCACCTCAGTGTAGCTGGGCGGCTGGGGCAGGTCCGTCGGGGGCACCGCCAGGTCCGCCCGGGTGGTGCTGGGCACGATCAGCATGGCCTGCGAGGGAGGAGGAGATGGAGCTCGCTGTCGGGACCTGCGTGGCCAGAAGCTTCTGTTCAGGCTCGCTTCACCACCTCTACCTACCTCGTTGGAGCTGAGGCGAGTGGCCCGGCACCAGAAATTCGCAGTGGCAACAGCAATGCAGAACTCCAGGATGGTGAAGATGAGCAGCACGATGGAGATCCCGTTCCCTGCGAGCTCCAGGCCGGGGGAAAGCGCCCGTGAGCATCGCCAGCATGCACGCTCGCCAACCCTCAGCCCCTTTGGCTCTGCTCCCGGCAGCGCCCAGCCAGGAGGGTGAGGATCTGCAGCGCTGCCAAGCCCCAGTGGAAGTGCAGCACAGATCCCACCCCACATCTTGGGGGTGAGCGTTTCACAGCTCCACCTCCAGTCAGTCCTAAACAGCAGAGCCAGCTGTGCTACTGCTTACCATGATGAGATAGCTGTAGTAGTCAAAGCCGGAGCGGTAAAGCCCGTTCAGGTTCAGGTCTATGATGAAAGCAACAATGCCCAGCAGTGCGAAGATGGCACTGATGACGTTCATGGTCTGGCTGCCCTTCACCTGTGGCCACGGGGAGACGGGCAGGGGTTTTGGCGCAGGGGTAAAAGCCCTTTCCCCATGCTTGGCGGGGACGCCCGGCTCCCAGCCGGACCGGGCAAGCCACCCTGTCGCTGTGACAGGCCGTGGACACTCACCGCACACTCTGTGGGGCTCTTCTCCGCTCCAATGGACAGGCAGCCCGAGATGATGAACTGCACCGAGGGAGAAAGGCGGGCGGTCGGCCACAGCGCTGCCCCTCCACCCCACTCTCAGCTGTACATCCCCTTGGGCATGGTGGCGTTAAACAGCCGCCCACCACCGCAGCCTCGTGGCTGAGCACTGGCTTTCCCGTGGCTCTTCCAGGGACGGGGACCCCCCCGCCTTGCAGGCAGAAGGGCCGGATGCTTTCATAGACTGCTAGTCCTTACATTTTGCTGCAATTCACTGTACTGAGCCACTGAACTTGAGCCCCCCACGTGCCCGGTCCCCAGCAGGCTAGGGAATCCTGGGAGCCCTGGGGGTCCCGGGGAGCATCCCCCCCACCAGCCCTGCTGTCACGCACAGACACGCCGCCCAGGAAGGGGATCTCGCCGATGACGAAGACGGAGGTGTAGACATTGGTGAGCGTCGTTAGGACGATCCCGAAGCCGATGTGCATGAAGCCGGTCATGATCTGAATGGTCTGAGGGAGGAGGCAGGGAGAGAAAGTGGGGCACGTTCACACACCCCCCAGCACGGAGACAGGGGTGCTTGGCCGGACATCCCTTCACCTCACTGGTCTCCCCCCGCATCCCCCAGCTGAGCTGCCCTGGAGCAGCCCCCACTTGGCAGTGCTGCAGTGACGGGGGAGCCCAGGCTGGAGGGGATGTCGCTGCAGCCCCATTCCCAGGGGCTCATCTCAGCCCCCCTCCCTTGCAGCTCTCCAGAAAGGACAGGGGATCCCTCAGGTGCAGCCCCCCCCATTGCATCCCCCCCATCTCTTGCCAGCCCTCCAGGATGAGGTCCTCCATGACCAGCTCCAGCCTCGACAACGGGGGTGGAGGGGCTGAGCATCACCCCCTAGCAGCCCCCAGACG